AAATACTGACGCCATTGTTTGTGTCATGTTGCTCTATCTTTGTGGCAAATTTAGTAAAAATAGCACATGTTTGGACAGGTACAGATGCAGCTAAAACTCTCAGTCACAGTTCAATTAAGGTGTGTATATAAAAATCTATGCTCCATGTTTTAGTTTGACTGTTACTGTATTACAGTTGCTTCTGTTTGCACATTTAAACCAGTATTATCCTAACTGGGTTAATAATGATAATATCTGGCACTCAATGTAATGTCATCACTGGCAGATAATCAATGCAGTGATACAGGACTCACTTGTAACTAGTTTTAACCTCCAATACGTTGTCTTTGAGAACAGGGAGCAGCGGTAATGTCTACCTTGTGTTCACGGCGGGCCCGTTTTTGCTGCTGCTCTATGAGGTCGGATGCAGACGCAGGAGGAGAAGCGGCCCTCATACTGCGAATGACTCGAATGCTGTCCTCCGGCAGAGGGGGGAGACCCAGCTCCACACGCTTACGAACCTTTATGCTTTGCAGCTGCTCAAACCCTCCGAGTGTGAACTGAAACAGAAGACAGGATTTTAATGTCTCTTAACTTCAGATGTTACTTTTTTGTTTTTGTAAGATCATGTGGGAGCATTTAACATGAGCAGAATTAGAGTTAACGGTCATGGATGGCAGATATTTCTGTCTCTCACCAGTACACTCTTCCACAACAGCAATAACACCTTCTTCATTGGGAAGTGAGGGGCGTGACCACTGCAGAACTTGGTAACCATACCGAAGAGCATGACAGAAATGGGTTCGTTGTTGAACATAGGAGATCCTGCATTAGAGAGTGGAAATTATTTACATTATAAGTTTTTGTCAAGACGCATGACACGGCTGAAGCTTATCACACTGGTGAAACTTACCCAGTTCGGCTCTGAAGGTTTCCCTGATGATTTTCCATTCAGGCTTGTCAGCTGGGTCATCCTGTTGTATCGTTTCCACCATCAGGTACATTATGTTAAGCAGCACTCTGAGATCCGTGCTGTCGGCAAGGGAGATGGCTGGTTTTCTGACAGCACTACTACAGGCAGCGCTGTTACTGTAAGGGAGAATATAAACGTTATAAAGGCTCAGAATGACATCTTGTAGCAAAAACCAGGCATGAGCGATTTAGGCAGGCTTCTGCGTGGCTAGAAAAGTAATGGAGAACATACTCAATCTCCATGTTGAGCAGCTCCACCAGAGCAGAGAAGGTCCCCACATCCAGCAGCAGAAAGATGTTGTATCTCATCCAGTGCTGCACCTCAGCCTCAGAGCTGCACTCTGCAAACGTTCCTAAAGAGAAACAAAATGTACCACGGTGAAATATAGAGAGAGAAACACAAATAGCCTGCCTGATCGTTCATTCTGCCGTTCTTGTTCATCACTTCTCGCTAAAACCCTTTTTGGAGATGGGGACTGACCCTGAGCCATGTAGAGAATAGCCCTGGCAACCTTCAGCCTCTTCTCCCGGGCAATCACCTCCAGGCCGTCCAACAGGCGCATGGCGTGAGCTCGGTGTTGAGCTGCATCGAGCTCTGTCCACTTCTTATCAGAAACTGAGACACAGAAGAGGAGGATGTAATAAGTTTAAGATACCGTCTTAATCTTAGATGTAATACATTGTTTACGATGAATTAATTAGGATTTGAGTGTATAAAGGTTTAACTACATACCATGTGTTCTGAATTCCACCTCAAAGCACTTCCTGTTGAGAGCAAACTCTGGTCCTTCAGTGTAACTGTACAGCTCTGAAACATACATAAATAACATAGAAACAATCTCAACACACTATATGTTGCAAACAGAGTGACGTTCAGGGGAACAAAAAGAATCTCAGTGTCCATGATGATACGATGAGACACACACCTGACAGCTCTGCAGCCCACTTGTCTGTATCCGCATATTCAAACTCGAGGTCTGGAGACTCAGACAGCCCCTGTGCACAACACAAGACACATGTTATGCCCTTATTAATAATTATTACTTTAGAGTGATAATAATCAATCAATTCAACTACAAGCTTAAAGGGGGAGTTCACTCAAATCAACACAAAGAAAAAAGAAACACCTTTTCTAACTCTTGTGGTATTTAACCATTAATGAGACTAATATACAGACCTGGCTGAACAGTGTAAATATAATTCCCTATGAAAACTCTTCTTATAAGGTCTATGTATTATCCTAAATAACCAGGACACAGTTTCTGGGAAATTAATTTGCTTTGCGTTTTGAAAATGTAGTTTTTAAATGTTTCAGAGTTGGAAGTCTCAAGAACTGGATCAATAAAAACAAATGTGCATGTGTTAGATGATACCACTGATCTGATGTGGACTGAACTTTAAACTGGCCAAATTGTGGTACAAGTTTGTCCCAAACCTATAATGAGGTACAGCATTAAAACGCATAAATACAAAAACATGGGAAACAAGACTTTATGAGAGTGAACTGCTGAGGATCCCAAAAAAAGATTTTGGTGTTAGAGCATGTGGCACATTACTGTCGATTTACATATTAATACATCTGTCAAACGTGCCCACTCACTGACAACAAGGCACCACCACTTATACATGATGAACCTTTACTTGTGAAGCAGTGTATCTTACATTAAAGTGTTTCTACTTTGACTTAGTAAAGTTCAACACTGTGAGAAGGAACAGACTGTTGATTAGAAACTCATCAGAATCACATTTAGTGCTACTACGGTTATAACTGGAGCTATAATGTCTATTTGAAAGATTACAAGAGGTGAAATCTCCCCATTCACTGGGTAAAAACAACTGAATCCTGCTAATGAATTCACCAGAAACCTCCCCCTGTTTCTTTGCGGGATCCACGGTAAACACACGTGTATTGAAACTACACGAACTACATGAGCAGTGGATTAGAAAGAAGAAGCCAGTGTGCAGACAGGACCTGGAGGAGTTAGTTTCCAGCAGGTCGCACTTCAGTCTGGCCTGTGACCAGCTAACACCAGCTAGCCGCCCCCTGTTAGGCTACACCGCTGCTCAAACACCGTATAAAGTAACACGGGACTACAAACGCCACACTGCACAACTACAGGCTCATTATGTCAACAGTTTGAAGAAGCTCAACTGCGGCTGCTGGCTTGCGTGGTGGAGTTATTAGTAATAGTTAAGCTACAGTAGCCTGACAGAGCTAGCTAACGCTGTTACAGGCCTCGTCTCTTTATTGAAGAAGAAAGAGAAATTCATCTCAAACTTCTGTTCACGTACCTCTGAGTCTTTTCTTGGGTTGCGGGTGAATTCGCCCCTGCTTTTATTAGGTAGCATAGCTCTCTGTTTGTTGTTTACAGGAAGCCCACCACCGTTCCCACCGACCTCCATCTTTTTTGGGGGAGCAGTGTGTTCTCGCGAGACGAGAGTTGGTCGGCGAGAGTTGGTCGGCCAGAGTATGACTCATCCGTCTGTCCATATTCATATTTCTTTATTTAACTACTGCTTTAAAAATGTGGAAAACATGATCTATGCCCTCTACTTTAGTTGTTATTTAACTCTAGTAGTTCTATATGTTTGTTACTTTACAAATGTTGGTGGTGTCTTCTCTGGTTTTATATTTTACCTTGATGCAATGTAATTTTAACAAAATGAAAACATTCTCTACTTCTAAAACTGTGCTATCTGTGTATTGCATTCATGGTCATTACACTATGCTTTAGTGGTGCATATTCTACATTATTACAATAAGTTAAATTGCCACAAGCCAGTTCCTGCCCTAGGGCAGCTGCCCACGTTGCCATAATTGTATCTAATATTTACAGGTTTATTTATTTTTCAGATACTTACCTGACATGGATGTTGTAGGAAATCCATTTGCTAGATAGATAAGGCCTTATCGTGTCTGTAAAATGATGCATCTGAGCCATTTTCTAATTTCAAACAGCAGTTTATTTAAGGGAACTGTGCACAGAAATTTAACATGGTGAATACTGCTGAAATCGTGTTTTAGGCCTAATTTATACAGTGAGGAATATATAATTTATATAACTCATATATCTCCACATCAAAAACTTAAAACCAGCAACAGTGTACAACTGTCAAATCACAGTGGTATGCTTATTTATTTAAATTTGACCAGAGTCAAGCTGTAAGTAATAACACATTCATTTGTCTCTATAACAGAGTCAAAACTAAAGGTAAAATGACTGTTACTATTAGTTAAAACAAAAGGAATTCATTAGAAAAGGCATTTTTCAAGTGCTATTACGAATGTTTGAGGAATTTTAAATGTTTGATTGTTACAAGAATGAAACCAGGATGAATCAAATACATTAAAATGTAAAAGTACATAAGGTTAGTACAACATTATATAACGTTAGTCATCTTACAGTAATGCATATTTTTAGAGTAATGTGAAATAACAACTCTCCACGATTGCAGAAGAAAACTGAGTATGTTTTGCTGCATAGCTCTCACTGTATATTGCAGAATAACAACCATATTGGGCATTAACATACTTAATGAGTAATTACTAAGTGAGTCACAAGGCACCGTCAAATGACCAGTAACCATGGTTACGGCGCTCATCTTGCTGATGTCCTCACTGAATGTCCCTGGCTTTGATGTCCTTAAAGCTGCTAGTGCAAAGATGAAAGCACTTCAGTAGCATAACGCAGGCTACTGTACAATTAACAACAGGACTAACGGACAAAATCAACTAATTAAACAAAACAGAAACGTACAGGAATTACCTGCAACTCTGTGGATGAAGTTTTGTGAAGGGTGACACAACAGGATGCTGAGTAAATACATGTGGAGGCTTGGCAGTGACACTAATACTGTCAACTGTTTGAAGTAAAATCAGCCCACAGACTATCAGCGTGAAATACAGCAGATTATAGTAATTGAAGAGCTTTAAATTCAGCAAGACACAACTACCACCTGCACACTATATCATTTGAATTAAAAAAAAAAAAAATCATAATCACTCAAGTCTAATGTTGCCACAAATGTAAAAAAATATTACAAGTGAACATGGAAGTAAAAGTGGTATAATAAGTTTGTGCATTTAACAATCCTCAGAAAAGAATGCTTAAGCTGTTTAAACAATGAAAACTGCCAGGAAACAAAACAAAACACTGTGTTATAGCTATAACAATGGTGCAATACCACAAGATAACACAGAAGGTAAAGCTATCACACCTGTCTAAATGTGCTGACAAATAAGCTTATTCACATTTAGGCCCAGAGCATTTGAATACTTAAATTTACTTTTCTGTTGTTAAAATATTCAATAGAAAAACAGACATCCTCTTGTTAACACAAGGTCAGAGTCTTGTGACAAATACAACAATAAACTCAATGTTGCACTCCAGCAAATACCAAGATGACATTGGCTGATCAGAGGCTGTTGCATATACAATACAGCATAAACATACTGTATATAACACTGTCCAACACATAGTCTGTGACTTGAGTTAGCTTTACACAGAATATACATATCTGCAGATGACTTGCAGATGATTTTGATCATAGACTATCAAAATCTCTAAAGCTAGTTTACAAATCTACTGTAAATAATTATTTCATGAGAATGACACTGAGGCCATGGATTCTAAAGTCAGACAGTGCTGATCTGATAAAAATATATTTACAAAGTATTTGAGATATTTGAATGCCCTGAGGTACTAGATACTATTCTTACCAGACACCAAAACCTCATAAATGGACGTATTGTTCCAAGAAAAGAAATGCAAAGCTCCCTTTATGTTTGTTATAGTCAAAAAGTTCCTCTTTTAGCCCAGATCTGCTGAAGTTTATCAGTAATGTGGATGATACTACAGAGAATATTTCTTCTGTATCTTTTGGATGGAATGTATGAAGTAAGTGAATGCTGCCACATCGAAGCAGAAAGGAAACTTTAAATGATGTTTGACCACTTGGGATGGAAACAAAATGGACAGAAACACAGCCCTGATTTACAGTCAGATTGTAGTTGTTATGGCTCATTTGTAAGCAACAAATTGCCTACTTAAAACATCCAGCTGACACACAGCACGTCACATTTTAGGCCACCTGATAAATTTAAGTTCAGTATTCACTGGCCTTTTAGCTCTGATTTGGTCCACCTACTCCTGAGAAACACATTAGGAGCTCATTTTTCTTCACCAGCCAGGACTTTATGTCAGACCTGAGCTTCAGATATAGGTGGGTTGGAATTTTAAGTGAAGTGAATTTGATCAAACGTTTATATCAAAAGTATCACTTAGTGCAGGTTTTATCTGATTTCACAACTAACCATTAACATTTCACAACAACTATAAACCTTTCTCTGTCACAGTCATTTGGCACAATATATTAATACATTATTCAATATCTATCAGAACTCTAAAATAACCAAGGAGCCAGCAGGCATAGAAACAGAAACTAAAAATCTCCCTAAACAGCGGATACAAGTGCTGTGGTTACACTGACGTTTCATAGCCAGCTTGGTGCCCTGTGCAGTTCTGTAGGAAGCTGCAAGAGAGGAGAAACTTGCTGTGGCCAGTAAATACAACTAAATATAAGCTGTGCATCCTGTGAAGAGTATAAAATACAATATACATAAATCTTTCTTTTGTCTCAGGGACAGGTAATATTCTGTATCGTCCACCTTTAGGTGTGCTGAGGTGTGGTTCCCCCGCAGACTAATACCTGTGAATACCAAGAACAAGTTTAGTTAGGAAATGCTTAATAGCAAAATGTTAACAGCAAATCTTTTATTTATTTTATACCTCTGTGTGTGCATGTGTGTGTGTGTGTAACTACAAGCCATCTATCAAATCTCAAACAAATGGCAATTACAGCTTGATTGTTGGTTAGAAAAAAATAAGCACTTGACTCTAAACTAGGATATACATTTTGACATTTTATAGGCAATTATCTAAAAATTTTAATAAATAATTAATAATTAGCTTTTAGCTTCATATTTTCACTACTATTCTGAAGTATTCTGCGGTCAAACTTTGCTGAATGGTACCTGTAGTAGTTGGGTTTAAAAGGGCCGTTCTTATTCAGGCCAAGGTATTTCGCCTGCTCGTCAGACAGTTCTGTCAGGTGGGCATCAAAAGTGGCCAGATGCAGACTGGCCACATATTCATCTGAAATACACAGATATGGTTTAATAAGGCAGCAATACATACACCACACAGGAAACCAGTTTGTATGCTGGGTAGAACTGTGCTCAAAGGTCAGAGTCTGTTATAGCGCCACATCACCAAAGGACCATGAGTAAGATTTTCAATTTCCATCTTGTAATCTCAAAATATATTTGCAGAGACTGAGAATAAAATAATTCACACAGCCTAGCCATGAGTAAAGTTACTATGAAAACTTAACTACAACAGGTCAGGGTTAAGTATCTATCCTCACCCATCTTCTTGGGAAGCAAGTAAACATCCTGCTTGTATCGTCCCTCAGGAGCGTTGTACAACTCTATAAGGGCCAGGGCCTGAACACAAACATGGATTAATAAATGAATGCACATTATGAACTGGATGAAGAGCAATAAATGTAATTATGAACAATAAAAACAGATATATGAAGAGAAGCAGCATGTTATTGCAAGTGTAAATCATCATCCTGAGCTCACCTGCCAGATCGGCCAAATAATAAGCACACAATGAACCCTACATGCTATCTGCAGTGGACATCAGCAATAACTACTGTGTCTTGAGCTGCTGTGTAGCTTATTGCAGGCTGTTTGTAGCATCAACGTGTTACCTGAGTGGTGGCTGTGATGGACAAGACGAAGGTAGGGACAGTGGAACAGCTGAGGTTAAGCAGACGTCCCTATGAAAGAAACCAACGTTATCAAGAGTACAGTCATTAAAAAGTATGTTTATGTATCACTGTTCCAACATAATGAAACCTTGTATATCAACATGTTGATGCGTCCTTCACCAGCCAAAAACTGAGACTGCACTAGTCAAAAATTCCTAAAGGATTTTCAGCTTTTCCAATAAAATCCTTTAGGATTCCCACAATATTCTTAAAATCCTTCAGGAATTCGATACAAAATAGTTTTGGTTCTTTTAGGAATATCACAGTCCTACTGTAAATCTGCAAATCTAAAACTCCTACAGTCAGAAATGCTAATGGTGGGTCCTTTGGTTTGTTAAAAACCTTTTCTACAAATTCACTGTTTTTATTAAGCACCATCTAATTAATAAAAGTAAGTAATGGCAGTATTGTTATAAAAATAGGGGAGAATAGATTGGTGGGTTTCTGTATGTGCTAAACCTGATTATTTACCTCAGCCAGAAGGATGACCCTCTTGCCATCAGGCCAGATGATGTGATCCACCTGAGAGCGCACTCTCTCCCAGGTCAGCTCTGGGGTCCTGAGACTTGCCTGGAAGAGATGAGAAATATCAGTGGCCTTCATGTTCTAAATAACACTTCAACACAATGTGACTGACCCTCAGGGCAATCCTTAAAGTGCTATTTAAACACGTAATGCTTTAATTAACTCAGTCTGTAAGATATATTTGACTCGTTAAGCACTACAGTAGTTTACCACATCAATCTCAGTATTGGAGTGGCCCATGTTGCAGACGATAGCGCCATTTTTCATTCGGTCCAGCTGGTCTCTGGTCACCACATTCTTGTTCCCTAAAGAAAGACACAATGATTCACCTTCCATCACAGGCACAGATTGAAAGCTGATCAGTGCATCAGTGCATCCTGATGAGCAGCTACACCAGTGTTAGTTACCAGTGCATGTGATGATGACATCAACCTGGCGAATGACCTCATTCAGCTTGACGACCCTGAATCCGTCCATGCTGTTTACACACAAGAGAAGAACAAGGTCCCACATTAGGCCTCAGTGAGGACTGTGACAAACAGGAAAGTATCTATTATTTATTGACAAGCAACTCAGTTCAGCTGAAGGGCTGAGCCCCCTGTTGGGTTAATGTAGTGTGTTTAAGTTTAAAAATATGTTTGTTAAATAATTAACAAACTTGCTATGCCATGCTATGTTCATATATTTATGACATTCAACACATTCAGCGTGGAGCTCATCCCAGTTCTTGTTTCTCACCAGGCCTGCAGCCCACAGATGGGATCAATCTCTGTAATACAGACGACGGCTCCCAGAGCTTTCAGAGCGGCACAGCAACCTTTTCCAACCTGCAAAGACAAGAGGATATACTGTATGACCAGCAGAGTTACATACGCCAATTATTACCCTCACCTCATCAGTATCAGTATATAAACATACGCCATCTTAACACAAAACCATCAAGGCTCTAGGTACAGGCCTGCTAATCTCAATACACTGCATGTGTTGATACTTTAATATCGTCTAGACTCAACGGTCAGACAGTTATATTCAATGTCCTGGAAATATTTTCCACTGAAAGGTGATGACAGCTATTAGTGTTAGTCTGTGGCCTGTGTTGATTGTCTTTTGACACTGCAATGTATCATCATAGCTATATGATTGATATTAGTGTGTTATATGTAAATGTTAAAAGAAGTATCTCACCTCACCGTACCCACACACGACCACCTGTTTGCCTCCGAACATGACATCTGTGGTCCTCTTCAAACTAGAGAGGTTTGAGACAGAAAATTAGCACATTTTGTGGAGGTGGAAAACTGCCAATCTGTATCTGTAACACTCTAAAAATCTGGCATACTACAAAAATCCTTGCTGACCTGTCCGATCACTGTGGAATAATACAGTTCTTCTTTTTACAAAACATATTAGTTTATTTAAATACTCCAGGGCAATAAATCATTTAGTGGCATTAATCATAATGGAACACCTGCTACAAGACTTCAGTGCAGATAATTAATCAGAAGGAAAAGCAATAAATTACGAGTGGTGAGTGCAGAAAACGTGGACTTCATACAGAGACATTGTTAAAGAGTACTAGACTATTTACATGCTGCCGAGGTGATAATTAACAGGAGGGTAATAAATGCAACGGTTATGTTCTCAGGCTGTTTTGCTCGTGTTGTGCAGAGTCTAGAGAGTTTGCAGGGTGTGCAGTAGAGGAGTATTACAAGGGCAACAGCCTTTTTAAAAGCTTTCGAGGTGATATGTGAATTTGATCTTTATGGGCCGGGGGTCCTGTGACGGCAGCAATGTTTCCTGACCTTTACGTCACTCCAGTGTTACAACAGACTGGTTCTAATGTTAAGAATGTGGCACTGACTCAGGAGAGAAGGATGTGACTTTTTCTTCGTGTGTATTAAACTGCAGATTGTTTACGCGACACAAGCAAGGCCCTTCGTCGGACGCTATGTTTCTTGCAAACCTTACTTATGACTGTAAAAGCTGTCCGATAAATAAACTGCGTAGCGTTTCAACGTCAGTTCCATTTTGTTATTATTCAGCCTTCCAACAACAAAACACCTCAAACTCAAGCTTACTCACCCGTCCAGGATCGACTCTCTGCAGCAGTACAGGTTGTCAAACTTCTGCTTTGTCACGGAGTCATTTACATTCATAGCCGGTACGCACAGCTTTCCAGCTTTAGACAGCTGATACAACCTAGAAAGAGGAGAGAGGAAGGTAGAAACTTTATGTTGGTGAGTGTTGCTGTGGGTGTCCAACTGAATATTTTAAATGTATATCCATTAAGCAGTAGATCACCTGTGAACCCCGGTGACACTCTCCTCTACAATGCCCCTGATCTTCTTGAATACGTTGGGGTATTTCTTGTACATCCAGTGTGTCAAGTCTCCTCCATCATCAAGGATCTAACAGATAAGAAATGTGATTTTACTCCATGAAAATTAATGTTGTTATAGACACAGTGATTGGCTTCCTATTGCCAAATAAATGTACCGCACTGTCATATCACAGTCTATTTGTATACAAACTGCCTCCTCACAAAGGTGGAAATAGAAACATCTCCACATACCATGTTAGGCTGCCAGCCCTCGTTGTTGACACAGCGGTCGATACACCACCAGAAATCATCCTCAGACTCCCCTTTCCAGGCAAACACAGACACACCTGAAACATGACAGATGGGTAATATCGTGAAGAATCTCGCATCAACAAGCCTGTACGTTTGTATCGTGTTCATTCAGTCTAAATTGATGATGAAATGAGATGAGATTGAGAGTCAATATGCTGCCATTAAAGAACCAAACTATTTCTCAACCTGCACATATGACAATGAATGAGGGCAAAGTAACAGCAGTGGCACACAGTTGAGCTTTTCAAGTGCCCTCTATTTTAATGTAAATGGTTTTTTTTTTGCAGATAAAACAGCTCAGCGTGTAGTAGACTATGCATAGTAATCATGTACTGACAGCAGACACAAATTTAACCCCCACAAAATGCATGTTCTCCACTGAGCAACTCCTAAATCTGTTGTGACCCCCTCAGCTTGTCACATCGTGAAAGGTCTACTGTGGAAATTTAGTACATACTTAAACCACCACATAGCAACCACAGATAAAAGGCTCACTGAATGGCAAATCTTCTGTGTTCCCATTATCTCTGCAGGGCTGATTTTTCAAAAGTTTATTAAACATTTCCAAACTGTATCCCTGGTTCTAAAAGACACGAGATGCTCACATGGTGAAGCACACCTCTGCTGATGGGGAAACATTTATGGACTTTCACACCTCAAAGTTAGTAAGGGGCAAAAACATTCTCCATTGCCTGTATTCAATCTCCAAAACTAAATGTTTTTCCCCTTTTCTATTGCTTACCGGTCTCTGACAGAGCAGCAGCCACTTCATTCTGAGTAGAGTATATGTTACATGCAGTCCAGCGGCACTGAGCCCCAAGAGCCACCAGAGTCTCGATCAGCACCTGAAAAAACGCAGGTAAGCAGGAAATAATTAGAAAATTATCAAATAAGATAGAGCTCTTCTCTTGTCACAAATAGACCGCTTATCAGTGTAGTGTTCGAGAACACTGAAAGTTACAATGAACCAGGTTTTTATTACATCTGCCACACAGATTAATCACATACTGTATTAGGCTCAGTGGGATCTGAAACACAGCCAAATGTGTATTTCATGGAAATAAAAACTCCTCGGCACTTTAATCATTTAAGACTCAGGTAGAACGAGAGTTTGTGTAAAAAGTTCTGTTTTCTAGTCAGTACACTATCCTGATTAAGAAGCACTATCACACTGCAGTCTTTGCTGGATTGGTAAAGCTCAACGTGAGGTAGAGAAGTCTTACTGCAGTCTGGGCAGTTATGTGAGTGCAGCCCACAATTTTGGCACCTGCCAATGGTTTTTCACTCTGCGCTCTCTTCCTGAGTGAGATCAGCGCCGACATATCTGAAAACAACATCAGAACATAAAAAGAGATGAGTGAGGAAGACAGCAAAGCAGACGATGCAAAAGAATCTCACAAAACTCCGTTGGGCAATTAAACATTCAACGTTTGATATAAATTCTTATATAAATTCTGTTTAGATGTAACATTATGACAGAGGTCTTTCAGATTAATTAGAAAGTAAAATGGTGAATGTATCTGCATGGTCTTACCCTGTTCTGCGATCTCAATCTCACGTCTGCCAAATTCAGCCTGTTTGATGTTCTTGACACAGAAGTCACTGCTGCCCTTGGAGTTGACCTGAGTTTTGTCCCGTGGTGAGGTCTCGTCGTCAGAGCTATCCGTATAGGACGCAGCTGGAAAGGAAACAAGCCAAATTAAAGCTACTCGCAGGACCGTTGAAGATCCAGGACTCTCTTTGCCGTAACACTCAGAAGCTCAGTTAACATATATAATAACAAATGTATGAGTTCATGCAAAACATTATAACCCTGGTGCACACATGTATCTGTCTGTCTCTCCTTCTTACCGGAGCTGTAGCTGTCTGTGGATGACTGAGAGATGGAGCGAGACAGGGAGCGACGGCCTGCCTTGGTAGGGAACCTGCTGAACTCCTGCTTGTCCTCCACAAACTGTATTTGCTGTTGTAAAAATAAAAAAGTCATGTTAAACGCTGTTAATTGAATGCTCTCATAGACGGTTTAAACTGAAGCTATTTTAAAAGGATACAGATCGAACTGTAAAACAAACCTCTGAGCAATTTAAAGGCTCATATTATGGTTCAGCTGTAGGCTGGATACTGTGTAGACAACAAATCCTTCTTTGAGTAGAAATGGGAGTTGGACTTGTTTATTTTGTTGTGTTGCTTGAGGCCTTGTTTATATGGCTTCAGCCATGACCAAATTTGGATCGAGTGCGATGAAGAAAAATGAAGATCTTTACTAAAAACACTTTGGCAACATAATAATCCTACTTAAACGAGGAACTTTAAGTTGTTTATTGACAAAAATAGATGTCTGGCTGCAGACCAACACACACACTGCGTCATCGAGACAGAAAATGAAGCTGCCAAAGCCACATTCTTATTGGATTCAGTTTACCACAGCCTCGTTGCAATTCCAAAACTTCCAGACGAATAAAAGTCATGCAGCTCTCCAGCTAATTAACAGCCTTTAAAATCCACTGTGTTGTATTTAACTAATGTGATTTAATTAGATATTAGATATGATAATTACCTGTGATATATTATAATATTGTATTGTATTATAATGTTGTGGTATGACCGTTATTGGCATGCAACTCACTTTATTAAGTCTGCATCCAGATGAGTAGTTAATCCACACTAAGGTAAAGTGAGTGTGTGTGTCTGTAAGATGAAGAACTGCTGTTTTGTTGTGTGTACTGAGCTTTATGTCTGATCAGCTACTTTTTAATCACAGCCGTAAACAGGTTCTTTTGTTGCTGACAGGGATTTTGCATCGAAGCAACGTGAGATGGAGAGAAAGATCCTCTAGGTGCAGTAACGTTATCTCCTCAGGTACGAGCAGATCTCTACACCTGAGCAGTTTCAGGAATGTTTTTTGTTGTCTTTTTTCTTTACCAGGACAGGTGAGGTTTTCAACTCTTTAAACTCTGAGGCAGGGGTGTCAAACTCTGGCCCGCGGGCCAAATTTGGCTTATACTGTACAGCGCATTAACCGCTCATACTACAAATCCCATAATGCCCTGCTGTTGTTTTGGCGCGTCAATCAGGACAGGACCCCGAAAC